ATGAGATACTGTAAGTCCTAGTGATGTGACTATTGATTACAAATTATGCCAAATCTAATCAAAAGCTTATGAATAGCGAGGAATCGTCACAAACGCATCCAAATAGTGGTCTATTTAGTGGTGAAAACATTTACTCAACGACTTCGAGAGAGAAAACCACAGAATTATAAGAAATAATTTTTTTAAAAAGTTTATTTGTAATTAAAATTAAATCAAATTAACAAGCTATTTAATACCATAATTTATATTAATGCAATTAATGTAAATAACAATTTTATTAATTTTCTTTTGTGCCAAAAATGCATTTAAGATTTAATTTATTGATATATAAAATAATAATTATATTCAACCCGTTTTGAAAAGATTTTTATTCATAATTTTTTTAATTCATAATTCAGTCTTATTTTTATTTAATAAAATGTTATTGAATTGAATCCAAAAAATTGTTTAATAAATAAAACTAAAGTTTGTTTCATATTAAGGACAGTCTCTGTCTATCGCAAAGTGGTATACATAGCAAGCATTGGGAGGTTTTAATTGCCACAGGGTAAACTTTTAATTATTTGCTATTTAACCGCATCGGACATCTACTGTATATTTAATAAGAGTTACAATATATTTATAATTTTTGAAAAGCATTCCTTAATATTGAAAAATAAAACTCAAATTTGAGTTAAAAATATTTTTCACAACTCATGCACTGAATATTGAAAACATTTTTGTGAGACACGTCTGGAAAAATGCTTCAAAAATGTTTGATTTGAATCCCAAAATTTGTGAACTGGATTAAATTTTTTATAAATGTCTTTTAGATTTAAATAAATATAAATTATTTGCAAAATAAAAACTTCGGAAAGAAAATAAAAAATAAATTTTGCGTCAAAATTGATTTCCAATGCTATTCAAGAGATAGACATATAATACTGATGTAGAAAATAGTGAATAATTATACGTTTGGCGCAGGAATGCAACAAAAACAACATAATTATAAAACAAAGATATAATGCGAGATATTTTCGCAAAAATTGCTTTCATATGAAAAGTCATTAATGGCTGAGAAATATAAGATTACAAGAGAAGTGAAAACTTGAATATTAATTATTGTTATATAAAAAACCAAAAGTCAGCTTTATAAATAAACAAACTAGTCGACAATACAAATAAGTTTTATTAATTTATTTATTTCAAAATATATTTTTCCAGAAAGGTCATTGATAAGCAAATTAAATTACAAATTTGATATAACTTAATGTTTTGAAAAGTTATTCAAATAAATCTAAATTTACAAATAAGTTTTATTAATTTATTTATTTCAAAATATATTTTTCCAGAAAGGTCATTGATAAGCAAATTAAATTACAAATTTGATATAACTTAATGTTTTGAAAAGTTATTCAAATAAATCTAAATTCTAATATTATGAATCATAAATTATGATTTTTGATCAAACATTTAATTTAAATAATTTATCGATTTATTAAAAAAACTCATATCAGTCATGAACACTTAAAATTTTACAAGTTTTATGTCATTCGTATATTTAAATAAATTTTAAAATCTATTTTTAAACTGATTTGTCGGCGAATACCGTATATAAGAGTTAATGTATTGCAATAAAAATTTATATTTAATTTACATATGATTTGATAACTAGAGGTAAATATCACAGATTACGAGGCATTGAACACACGAAACGAGAAATGAGACAAAAATAAAACCATCGCTTCATTCGCCGTTAGACTCGGCTGACTGTAAATGTCTGGTCTTCACGTCGTTGTAAGCGATGGTGAAAATACTCTTCTTCTCCATCAGTCCGCTGTTCTTCACATCCAAATCAATCCGTCCGACGGGTCGACCGATTCCTGAGTCGGAATCGTATGACTTCTCCGACGTCTCAAAACTGTTTTCTTTCGTCAAAATTCGTCTATTTTTGGCATTTCTTTTGTCGCCGTTTACTGTCGGCTCGTTTGTTGCGCTCGGATTTGCGCCGATTTTGTTGTCTTTCAGTTCAATACTGACGGGCACTCCGCTGACAGAAGTTATTTGAATGCTTTCATCATTATATGGACTGTAATTCATAATTTCATTTAAATTGTCAGACCTTTTGTCGCTAATAATGGTCTTCAACACATCCGTTCCGTCAGCATCTCCTAAATCGATGTGATTTTCATTACCATCACTAAACTGATGCCTGAGATCAAGACCTTCCCTCATGTGCTCATCGATTACAGACACTCTTTGAGAAGAAACAGACGGACCGGATATTATCTGATTCTGTGGTCCATCTCGGGGTATCATTCCGGGAACCACTGCCTCCTCAGGTATAGTCATTTCAGTGACATTGTGGTCACTGAACTGGATGTGCCTCTGCTTTGTCTTCGACGGGTATCTCATTCTATCGCTTTCTTTGCCGTTTTGAGATACATCTGAGTAGCGATCAAAGTCTTGGTCCTCATTGAATGGCATATCATTTTGACTAATACTTCTCAACGCTTCCTCCTGTTGTCCTCTGAGTCCGGACGGGCTTTGAATGTAAAGAATTTCAGTGCGTTTGGGAAATGTAACCAAATTGTCATTATATGGCAAATGATGTACTGATGGACGGGTTCTGTTGACCACTAAATTGTTGGGTTCGCTGAGATCGTGGATAATATAGGGCTCATTAGTTGTGCGCAAATATCCCATATTATCGACGCCTTTGAAAGTCCTCATCGGAATGTTTTGCGGGCGAACCGATTGGTAGCCATTCCTGTAATTAATGCCATCCTTTTCATCGTAAGAATCATAATATTGTGGACCAACTCTTGTCCTTTGATTTCTGTTCAGTTTATACACTCTTTGATACAGCGATGGATTGTTTGACAGATACTGATCCTGATATGATTGGGAACTGTTTGCCCTCACATTATGTGTGTAATGGTTTTGATCATTATTTGGGGCCGAAGAAGGCCTGAAATCACTTCTGAGTCGTGGGTCGCGAACCCTCTCCTCATTCCAGGCCTGAATCGAGTTCTTCCGTCGATTACTGTTTGATTTGTCATACTTTTCGTCTTTAGATGACTTATCCCTCGATACGGAACCGTTAGCTGTAGTCTTGAAATAAGTATTTTTCTCTGAATCTTCCAATTTTTGTTGACGACTACAACACATATAAGATTATAATTACTGAATGATTTGGTAAACAATGTGATAATCCTTACCGTTGTCTGTCTCGACAGCAACAGAACCAACAAATCAAGAATATAATTAAGAAGACAAGAGTGGCTATAATGAGGACTATTAGCAGCAAAATAAGAACTCTGAAGTCATTGCCCGCGATCTGTGTTGTCGTGTATCTGTCGGTTGTTTCACCGGAATTGTATTCCTTGCCAGTGATTTGACTCAGAATTGTAGGCGTTTTGTTCAAATCAACTGAAAAAGTAATTAATCTTGTTAAAATCACTGATAATATTCAATATGCTATCATTTGACAAACCTTGTGATTGTGATGGATATGCCATCCAAGCGTGTACTTCAGACATCTCCGACTTCAGACTCTTGTCTTTGTGAGGTCTCACTGAATAGATATGCACTTTAGCACCACTTAAGGCACTCATTCCGCTATAATAAACAATTGATACAAATAATTGAAATATTACGTTAAATTAAATTCAAGATTTTATTTCTAACCTTTCGATCGCGAGTTTCCTTTTGTTGACACTATCTTCTGTGTCTCCAATGGTGAAGACAACGGTTCTGTTGAGGAAATCCGGATTATGGATATACACGGGAACTGATGACGACTGGTGAGGGATCCCGTGGTCGTGGGCTCTGACGGTTAGGTTCAGAACCGGCATAAACTTAATGCTCTGGTATTCATCGAAACCGGGATTCGAGACCTTGGGGTGAATGTCATCGATGAGGGCAGACGTGAGACGAATCTCTCCCGACGTCTCGTTTATGACAAACTTATTCTGATAATTGCCGCCAACTATTTCGTATCTTATATGGCTGTTAGGAGTTCCCACTTCGTCGGCGTCCATGGCTTTCACGATAAGCGGTTGTGTGAAACTGAAACGATCGGGATTTAGGACGGCGTCGTACCGGGGCTGTAGAAATGCGGGTGCGTTATCTGCCATTCAATTATAAGATTCATTAAAAGTTATATGAAAATAGCAAGGAGATTTTTAATTACCGTTTATATCAACAATTTTAATGTGCAATTCGGTCACATTTTTATTGCCCCGACCCAACTCATCCCTGGCCTCTACACTGACTCTATACTCAGATATGATCTCTCTGTCGATATTTTCGTTGGTTTTCAATGTAATAACTCCCGACTCGGAGTCGATGTGCAAACTATTCATAAATAATTAAAGTTTTAATTTTGCTTAATTGTAATGATTTAAAAGCAAATACTCGTCAGAAAGCGGGCCATTAATAGAAGTGAAACGAATTCTTCCGTAATCTCCAGAGTCTCCATCCGTGGCCTCAATCTTAGCCACAGAAGTACCCGGAGCTGTGTCTTCGGGTATGAGTGCTTCGTATACTCTTTGTGTAAATTGTGGGATATTATCTGTACATCAAGTTTTATAACTTTAATAATAGCTTATTATTAATAAGTTTAATATTTATCTCAATATACCATTTAAATCATTTAATTTTATGGTGCAAAGTATTGTAGAATTCAATGGTATATAAGGCGATAAATCTGTTGCCATAATCTAGCAAATAATTTCATATTAATTCAGTAGTCTAACAAAAATGTAGTAAAATATACTTTAACAGTAAACTGTTTCTCTGAATTGGTTTCGTAATCCAATTTTGTTGAGTCTTTCACCACAACGGAGAAAATAATATCATTGATGCCTCGCTTGGGCTGAATCATGAATGTATCCGATGGGTCGCTGATAGTCAAAATCATTGTGCCGTTAAGACCCGGATCATTGTCGGTGACCTGTGGGCTACTCAAGCCCTGCCAGAGCACAGGTGTCATGTGTTGACTGTTCTCATCAATACTTCCGACCAAATGTTCGCTTTTGAATTGCGGGCGTCTGTTGTCAGTCGAGACGATCACTAAACTTATGTCTGTATTGCTGGACATCGCGGGTATGGGATCGCTCGGATCGACCACTTCTATGGCCCATACGTTCAGAATTAGGGGCTCTTTGGTCCCAATCTCTTGTTTTATATCATTGATGGGACGCCTCAACACTACCGACCCTTTGATGTCATCGATTCCGAAGTATGACTTCAGAGGAGATTCTAAGCAAATGATTGAATATTTTCTGAATAAAAAAGATTTTAAGTAAAAATGATTTACTTTTGTCGATATCGTATGTAATGTTGCGTTGATTGCCGTAATCGCCGTCTTCGGCACTCACTTGTAAGACAACATTTCCCTGAAAATGTTATTTTATAGTTATAACTGTTTTCATAAATATTATAATTAGAAATACTCACGACTTTCGTATTTTCCGAAATCTTGACAACATTTGGCAAATGGATAAACACGGGCGCCGTGTCCTGAATGTCAGTGATTACCACCACCTTATCAATGATAGCTATGTTTCTCGTATCAAATGTTTCATTTGCCCAACAATTCTAACGTAATATGATAGAAATTTATTTTTATACACCCATTGAATAAAAATAAAATTCATACCAAAGCAACGATTGATAGGATATAGAGATTTTGTTTTTCGTAGTCCACTTTTTGAAGCAAATATATCTCAGCATTACTCGTACCTAAAGATTAATTGACTGTTAATTAAGTAAATTATATGCAAATAATCAAGTTTGAGGCATACCTCCAGGTCCAAAAATATATTTAATGGCAAACTTGTCGGAACCCTTTGTGGAGAATTTAATCATTAGAAAACAAATAACAATATTTGATAAACAAATTGCTTTTTTACCCGCAATTCAAAAGTGACGGGAAGATTACTATTAGGTCTCTCCCTGACACTTATGGTGGCAATCGTGTGGTTAGTATTTGTGCTCTAATTGTAAACACAAATACAGTATTAGTATAAATTAATTATGAGGATTAAGACAAACCTCAGAGATTTGGATGATGTTATCTGATGGTAGAAATGGTGTTTCAGTGATAGAGATACTTTCTGTTACAATGATTGTGGACTCCACCTCGGTGAAATGTTTACCATCCGAAGCAAATAATGTGATTTTATATTCCGGATCCTATTTATCATAAATTATCTCAAGTTTAGACACAGCTTCTAGACTAAAAAATCTGTCCTAAAACTCACTTCTAATTGATTTTTTAAGTAGATGTCCGCCTCATAAAAGCTCACATTTTTGAAACCCAGTAAACGGCTGCCAATGATCCCACGGACGCCGAACTCAATGATATCGTTGTCGGCATCCGTGCCCTTAATCCTATATATGATTGAACCGACTTTCGTATTGTTTGGCAACTTTAAAATCCGCATATTATGTGAAAAGTCAATAATCGGCGGATTCGCTGAACACAATGCACTCAATACGCCCGCAACCAGTAGTAAGAGATAAAGCTTTCGGTCGATTAGAAAGTGTGGCAAACAGTCTAATCGAGCCATTGATCTGTAGATTAGAGTATTTGTTAGAGTTTTTCCCTTCATATACCGCTAATAATAAGTAAAAGCAATTTTCGAGTAGTTTGTAGGGAAACCAAATACATCACTAAATATTAAGTATCTATTGTTTGGCAAAAATGTTAAAAATATCGGTAGTAATGAATCAACAAAACGACAACAAAACAGAAACTCTTATATGAAGGTAGAGATCAACGACCAAAACAAATGTCTTATTTCTATTAGAAAGAGTACTTTCATCTAAACTTCAAAATCAATAAAATAGGGTTTTATGCATAACAAGAAGCAATATGTATATTAGTTTGCAATAAAACCATTGATTGCCAAAAGCATTGCAATCATATTCAGTATAGTATTCCATGCATTGAAAGGGAATGTGAACTCATAAGAGGAATATTCTATGAATTCATAAGAGGTCTCATCGATTGGCAATTATAGACAATACGTGAACACCGATTGTCCCGAAAAATATTAATAAATTATAAATATTTAGTGATTCAATACTGTGAAACCGATAGAGAAATGGGAACAACTGTTGAGTTACTCGCATATACTTGCATATGATTTGAATGAATAAACCAATTAATTAATTATAAAAATTAATTTCAATCCCATTTTCGTTAAAACAAATAGTATTTAAAATTATAGTCATTACGGTAAGTGTAGTATGGGGTAAAAATAAAATAAAATACAACTAAATTTATATTTATATTTAACATATAGTGGCGAATTGATAAATTTCTGGGAAATTATTGGAAAATATAAATAATCAATAATATTACTACAATTAAATTCAGTCATAAAACAAATAATGTAAAAATATTGTAGTTATTATATAAATATATTAGTCTACATGGATATTAGTAAGAATTAAGTAATAAAACAACAAAAAATAGTTTTTATATAATTATTCTCTTAACATTGAAAATAAAATATAAGTTATAATTCAATATTACTGTAAATAAAATAAAATATTTTCTAAATTACATCAATATTCTGGGTAAACACGACTACAGTAAAAAAGATTTATTAAATTTTTGGATGACAAACCTATTAAAATTTCTTATAAAAAAATGTGAATGTAAATGAAATGTATTTGTGTGTTAAAAATTTAAATAATAGGGTTACCAGAATTTGGGCACAGAATCGCACATAACACTGAAATGTTATGAAAAATTGGTCTCTAATTGATATGCAATTATTGTAAAGAATTTTTAATTATATTAATGCGAGACTCATATAACTCTGCGCTATAACTTCACTACTTATTAACGATTTGTTTCAATAATAATGTGTTACGTGTTTGCGATTGTGTTATCAAATAGGTTCGCAATAAATTGGGTCACATTTGCTCCCAAATTAACATTCAATTCGTACGGAAATTATTAATCCTAAAAAATATGTCACAAATGTTTCGTTATATAATTCTTAATATGTTTAAGGATTTTGTGGAAAATATTTAATTAGATTTTTTAGTAATTCAGAGAAAACACTTGCCAACTACATGTTCAAAGAATTTCATACATTTATCAAGAATTCTTGTCAACAAGACTTTATTATTATTTCAAATGAGTTTAAAGAACCTAACATATTAATTAGCTTAGCTAGAGTATTCTTTCATAGAAAACAGATTAAACGTTAATTTATATTTTTTTATAAAAATTTATACCCAACAGAAATTTGATAATTACTGGTATAATAATAAAAATTGTGTAGTGATATATGAAAATTAAGATTTCATTTGACATTATATACTGTATAATGAAATTTTTTAGGATTTCAAATATTTATTTTTAAAATAAGTAAAATAAATCATATATTATATAAATTATATAATTATATAAATGAAATTTATTCTTATTCTTAATATTATAGCTTAATTAAAATTTTACTGGATTAAAATTTCACATGTCAAACAACAGTATTATCAAATTGTTAAGCATTTATTTAGTATTGTATCCGAAAATTTTAAAAAGTGCATTAAATGAATAAAAATTAAAAATTTTATAAACAAAAAATTCTTACTGGTAAATAGTTTTGACTAGTTTACTAATCACTTACTTGTCAAGTTTGTGAAAGTCATTGAAAACTTTAAGTGAATGGATAGAAATGTTGGGAATATATGCTTTCACCAGACATTATCGCATATATTATCCAAATGAACACAAGTGGATGGTTAGACACAATAAATATTCACTGGGTTTTTAGTCTATGAAAAAGTTTCGCACAAAAACCACAACCAAAGCCGCCCTTCCTTTCCAGACAACGGGCCCACTATTGGCAACAAATATCTTACAATTATAGCACACGTTATATTTCGTGCGATTTTATCGTTTGACAGCTTTTACCAGTCGAGTCGACAACCAATTGATAATAACAACAGAATATGAATATCGGCATCACATCTACCCGTATATTGTAATAACCACATCATACCTACCTACCAGTCCCTTACCAGTCCTGCGCAAACTATTTGCCCACAAAAAACTTATTTCACTTCCAATTGGAAAGACAGATGTTTTTATGGGACTAAATGCTTAACTATTGTCTGAATTAAAAATTAATAATCTTTACATAAGCATTGCATTTGAAATGGTTTTTCTAGTGGACTATTCATTGCAAATGTCATGTATTGGCGACAATGAGTCACATGAATATCTGAAGGGTAAGCCATTCCGGAATAACACGTCCGTCCACTGGAATTGGGTTAATATTCCTCAACCATTGCGTGCATTTTCGGTGTAACCACTAAATCACCGAAAAATATCAAAAATAAATATCGAAATAGAAATAAAACAATTTTAATCTAAAAATTGCCACTTATTTAGAGAATTAATTGAATTATGTTTGCAGTCGTGTTAATGGATCTGATTTTTTTCTGTCGAGAATTAATGTTTCTGTTTATTCACCTAAAACTCCTACAAATATACGGCAATTAAGTGGAGAAATGTTTGCTATGTTTGGTATTAGTATTATCCAAAGTGATCAATGGATATGGTTTAGGCAGTAGTGGCCACCACATGGCAACCCAACCCCTAATCTACCGCTTATTATTATTATGAATTATTCACGAATTAGAAACACAGTCTCTATGACAACAATTTTGCCTATTTCTATATTTAAGGTCTATACAGGTCTAATATGAGGTAAAGGTCTGTCAAATTATGGCTTACATTAATCACAATTAGTTTTTATTTCACTTTTTTATGCAAAATACCTGTAGTTTTAAAATCTAAAAAGCGAGTTAATTTAAAATATTCTGTAAGGTTATTAACAAAAGTATTTCATTTATTTAAGAATATTAATTTTATTTCGAAAACCCAAACTTTTTCGTAATATAAAGTTAGTAAATACGGGCATTAATTATAGAAATAAATTTACCATAATATGCATATTAACTTTTTTCAGAGCAGTTTTAAATACTTCAGTTTAATTAAGGATAAGGAGTGCAAAGAATATATAAATTATACTAACGATTAGATTAAACCTAAATTTAAAGAAATGAGTTTAAATATTGTTTTTTAATTCAATGAACCAAATATTGCAATTGTTTTCGCAATTAATGCACAAATGATGCATAACTGCTAATTTCTATAAACTCCAAATGGATATTAAATTGTCAATACAATAAACATTTGAATAACTTCTCGTTGCACTTAATTTTGCAAATCTTGAACACATGTGAGTTTTATCAAAATAAATAAATTGCAAAATTAGAGCATATAAAAATCCATAATTTGAATGAAAAATGTTTCCGATAATGTTTATGACAAGAATTCCCATTTGTTGGTGAAGTGAATTCAATGAATCGTTAAGCAGGTGTGAAGTCTACGAGCGCCTATACCTATATTAATGATAACCATATAACTTATACAGGAAAACCGGACAGACATACGGTGAGCCCTATTCTGTATGTCTGTCTTCCCTATTGTCGCAAACATATACACGAATCAAAATAAGAGGTAATTGTCTTACACTTGATTAAAATACTAAAATACATAAATATTAGGAAAATTGATTCTTTGTGGTCGGAATTCATTAAAAATACACTATTAATACTGTTTTTAATAAATATTAATGGTATTAAATCATTTTAGCCATATTACTATTTAAAATACTAAAATACATAAATATTAGGAAAATTGATTCTTTGTGGTCGGAATTCATTAAAAATACACTATTAATACTGTTTTTAATAAATATTAATGGTATTAAATCATTTTAGCCATATTACTAAGTATGTGTATAGCTATACTTAATGAGAATTTCTAAAGGATTTCACATAATAGTCAATAATAATAGCAATGCGAGTTTTTATAGTCAATGCATGTGCTGCGAGAGTCCACCCAATGCTTAATATGTGAAGAATTAAATAATATACGCTATTATTGGGTCAAAAACAAAAAGCATTAAACATTTCGATCACATATTAAGTATTATGTAATTTTAAATGTTCTTTAGATTGGCTTCAATTGAAAGTTCATTCAAACAGCAAAACATCAAAAACTAGGCTTTATTTTGGACAGAAATGAGAGCACTTTTGTGATGAATGTATGAGCGCTTGACTTTTAAAAGTTTTATTAACTGTTGAATGGATCGCTGAAAATAGTAAAATCTGATTAATTATTAATTTGTTAATACATCGCCGTATGTATATTTGGAAAGACTTTAAATGTCAGATAAACCGCAAATAGATATCAATTAAATGAGAATCGCATCGAAACGACTGTCTGTGAGTCAAATGGTGTTTAATCATTGACTTATTGATTATTTACATAAATAGTTAACATAAGTGAGTATTTCGATTA